TTAATATAATTTAAAAGAAAACTTCAAATATTCTAGGAGTCTTAATAGACTTCGTGGATAGTAACTGACAAAAAATTATGTAAAATGGCTTCACACTAGGTACACAAGAGCACAAATGGCATTAAAAATAAATAATGTTTACTTTATTATGCTTGAAATACTCTTCAGAATCATGTGCAAGAAATAAAGGTAAACATTCCACTTAAAACATCATTCAAGTTTTTAACAATGTATTTGAAAATCAGTGCTACTCTTATCTGCTATGCCTTATAACAAATGAAACCTTGGCTGAATTCACTGAATGAGCTAATATAATTTTAATTTGGAAAACAGAAGTAAAAAAGAAGAAAAACAAACTATTTTAAACTCTTTATATTAGTGATTTACTTATGTGTAATTATTGGAACTATTCCCAATTTAGGCTACAGAGATTTTGTGTTTTTTCTAACTCACTTTAAAATTATGAAAAGAATATGTAAATGGCATAGATTGGGAAATAGCTATTGGATGCTTTTTAAGGGCAAAAGCTAAAGCTGTTTCTACCTAGTGCCAAAAAATAGCAATCCATCATTATTCTTTGATGATATAATTAAACTAATTTTAGGACAGTAACTCTTTCTCAATCTGAACATTGACTGTTAAAAATCCCAAAGTAGAATAATTTTCCATAAAACACTAAGAAGTAAGGTGGATCAATGACAGTCTTGAATCCAAAGAGCAATCACTGAGTGTACAATTTTTATATAAGTCTTGTTGGTACTTTCATGTATAAGAGCCAATATTGTGATCATATATTTTTAATATTTTACTTAAGCAGTTATACCTATTTAACATCATCAAAATAATTAATTTAAAGATTGAATGTCATGATGAAATTTGAAATATTTTTGACTTATTTCCCAAGTTGAAAAATCACAAACTGGAATATGCACAGTCGTGTGGAGATTGTTTTTCCAATAGTGTTTATTCACAAATATTATAATAAGGACTGTAAGTGCAGTGCTATAAAGTACGAATGATGTTAGAATGCAAGACTGGACCAACATAATGTACTCACAGGACTGCCATCAAGACCAGCAGGGCCTCTGTCTCCAAAGTCACCTGGAAAACCCTGTCACAGGGAAAGAGGAAGAATGCCAACATATATAAAGAATTCATTTTTGCTGTATTTTCTAATAAAGAATTTAGTAATAGAAAATATTTATTTCCTAACTCTTAAACTGTAATGCAACAAACACACTCTTTTGCATAACACACTTAATTGATTTTAAATACAATATTTCAAAAAATAAAAAACTAAATGCAATATTTCTATATGTTATAAAATTATTTTATATGCCACATAACATATACAGAAAATGAAACTGAAGTTTGTTCATCATACATAAAAAATCACCAAATGAAAGGAAAAATAATGAAGATTTCTGATTGAACAATCTTCAGTTATCTCTGCTATTCCAAACTGTTCCTATACTCACTCCACAGAGAATAAAATAGCTAGTATTATTAAGCACTTACCATGTGCTAAAGGCTTTATGCACATAATTATATATACACACTTCATTTCATCTTCATAACAGGTCTATTTAATAGATACTAATATTCTCACATTGTTGTTGAGGAAGTTAAAGCACAGAGAGTGTGGGTCAGTTGCTCAAGGTTAGACCATTAAAGATGGGTGGGACAGAGATGTGAATGAAGGCAGACTGATTCTAGAGTTCATGCTTTTTCAACTATGCTGCACTGAATACTTTAAATCATCATTCCAAGACACATATGTAAAACAAAAAATCCTTTAAGTACAATTTTATTAAGGAAAGGAATAATACACATAAATACTACAAACTTAAAATGAGGTGAAAATTAAAAGCTTCCCAAATGCCTATTGAGAATTCTACGTGGTAAAACTATGAAGGACGGTAAAATAGCAAACCTTCTCATTGTAGATTCTATTGTAAAATAACTCAATGCTCAGCTACTCTTACTTTATAAAACTACATTTTTCTCTAAAGATTTACCATTCCTCAACTTTAAAGCTCACTTTTTAAGAGGCTACTTTATAAAAATGTTTATAAGACTTACTATTATAAATATTTTCATAATATTCATTTACAACAACCAGGAGTAACAAAAATAAAAGTCTATCATTAGATTCTTATAATCTCTTTACTTAGGCAAGTCAGTATTAAATATTATGTTTAACAGACTGCCAAAAATTACTGGTTCCCAGAACAAAAATGAATAAGTTAAACTTAAAAGATAGTTTAACAATTTAAAAAATGTACAATGTTTCTAAAATATAGTTAACTCCTACTAGAAGCACAGTTTCCCTTATCCTGTAATCAAAGGATAATGTAAAAACCATCTGTGTAGTCAAATATATTGTAGCCATACTCCCTTCAAAGTTAGTTGAGGTTCAAGCAAGCATTTTACTTTGTCTTTGGAAGTCAAATTTTGTTGTCAACAACTTGCAACTCTGCAATATATTATCCTATTCAGTATGAGCTAACATGGATATATTCAGTATGAGCTAACATGGATATCTGAAAGTATTTATGACACACGGGTAATGGAAAAAGTAGAGGAAATATATACTACAGTAAGTCTGAAACATAAGAGATGATTGATTTTTTTAGATAGATCATAAGTAGGTTTTTCAGAAACCTCACTGAAATAATAAAGTATAGGGGACACACTGCATGATTCCATTACTGTGTAATGTCCACAACAGGCAAATTCACAGGGACATAAAGTGGATTAGTGGTTGCCTGTGGCTGGTGATGTGGGGGAGGAATGGAAAGTGACTCCTAATGAGTACAGGATTTCTTTTGGGGGTGATGAAAATGTTATAAAATCAGATACTGTGATGGCTGCACAATTCTGAATATACTCAAAACTGCCAAATTATACACTTTAAAGGTGAATTTTATGGTATGTGAATTATATGTTAATAAAGTTGTTCTTAAAAAACAACCTGAACAAGGAGTGGGATTGCTGAAAACATCTTTGGGAATTCACTCAGGATTGCCTAGAGAATGTGCTGTTCTCCCCAGTCCTTTCCAGTGCCTTGCATCCAGTGGGAGAAACTGCTCTCTGGCTCACTTTCCCTCAAAATTAGTAATTTCTCCCTACCTAGCAGAGGGAAGATGGGAGAGAGAAGAGGGGAAAGAATTGTGATCAATTTTTCCCTCAACACAAAATACTTACTTTCTAAACCAGCATAAAAACAATGCAATACTCATTAATTTCAACTTCTTATTCTTCCGGTAGTTCACAAACATGCGTATTAGTTGTTCACCTTGACTTTGCCCCTGAAATAATTTAGATGAGCTGAGTAATATCTACTTTAAATTTTTAATGTATTTTTCTTTATTATTATTATTATTATTATTATCATTGTAGAGATGGGGGTCTCACTGTGTTGCCCAGACTCTTCTCAAACTCCCAGCTTCAAGTGATACCTCCTGCCTCAGCCTCCCATAGTGTTGGGATTACAGGCGTAAGCTACCATACCAAGCCCTTGTGTATTGTTTCTTTTCCCACTTTATTACTCATTAAACATTTCATTTTAATTCTCTATTCTTGACAGAGATTATTTATTCTTTTAATCCGTCTTATATACTGATCATGTATTATCAATTTTTGAAATAATTTCTATGAAATCTAGACACTTCTTGTTTTATGAAATATTGCACAGCTAATACCACAAAGGCATTATTTGGCTCTTTATTAGATACATAATATTTTCTTTTAAAGAAAATCATACCAATGTTTTATACTGTTGAATCTCCTTGCTTGTTTATTGTTTATTCAGTTGTTTTTCAATGTTAATAACTGCATTAATATTTTTAGTACAGGTGAGGTTCTATATTCTTTTAATCATGAGCCTAAATGTTTGCAGCCACATAGGTTCATTGCCAAAAAATGGTCTTCAAGATTGCTTGTGAAATATGGAACAGTAGTAACAAACTACATATTTTTCCTTTAATTTTATAATACAAAAGACAGTCTCTATAATTTCTTTAACCAGTTGAAAGAATGTTGAAGAATGAAATATTTTGTTATATTTGCCTGGTAGAAAATTATAATCATTAATTTAAATCAAACTGTGTTTTCCTAAAAATACTCTCACATTGCCAAAGGACATAACGGCCATTTTCCAGGATTATCATGCAACAGAGATAGGAAAGCTCAAGAGTTTTTGCTTTTCTTGTTCAATTTGCCAGTTTCAATGAATGTAATTTTCACCTTCTAATGAGCATGCCAGAGTCGCACCATTGCTTCTGTGTTGTATATAGTTCTCTTTTTCACATTTTGATCAGTTAAAATATTTTATGTGATAAAGAATACGATGTTTCAGGAATTCAACTAATCTCTTCAACTTGTGAATAATTTTCTATTTTCTTGTTTATTTCCAATGATCAGTGTGGCGGACACTTTAAAGGATCTCCGAAGATTCCCATTTCCTGGTGTTCACACTTTTCTATGACATCCTCCCCTTTGAGTGTAGCTAGCACCTATGACTTGCTTAATCTAACAAATAGTATATAGCAAAGGTGATGAGATATCATTGCCATGATTATGTTACACTATATAAGACTGTCTTAGCAGCCTGGAGCTACAGGCTTCTCTCATGAGTTTGATGAGGTAAGCAGCTGTGTTGGAGAAGTCCATGTGGCAAGAAACTGTGGGTGACTCTGAAAACTGTGGACAGTCTATAAGACCTGAGGGTGGCCCATAGCCGAGAGCCGGCAAAAAGCCAGAGCCCTCCATTCTACAATCTCAAGGTAATAAATTCTTCCTACAACCTGAAAGAGTCTGGAAATGAACCTTTCCCCAGTCAAGCTTAAAGATGATAATGCAGCCTGACACTTTGATTGCAAACTTATGACTAGAGCAGAAGACTCAGTGAAGTAACACCTAGATTCCTGACCCATGAGAACTGCAAGATAATAAATGAATATTGTTTTCAGCTGCTAAGTTTGATGTATGTTATTAATTATGGTAAAATAGCAATAGAAACAGAAAACCAGTTAAATTGGTAATTAAATCTTCTTTAGAGAATATATAAAGTCTTATTTCCAAATTTTACCATAGGTAATGCTCAACATAAGTCTACGGTTGTTTCTAGTTTTAAAAATCTCAAGTAGATCATCTCTGAAGATTTTCTACTGCTGTCTACTTCTTATTACAAATTATAATTAACAACAAATTAAAAAATATTAAAATTTTTGTATTGACTTTTTAAAAAATTTGACTTAATCTTATTAAATATCTGTATTTCAAACTTTATCATTCTAGAATTTCATGTCCATCTATTGCCAACGTAAAAAAATCTTATCATACTTCATGAATTTTTTGTCCATACTTATGTAAGGACAAATTTAATAATAACATGCATTGTTTAATAATGGAAAATGCTTGTCAGTCTCCAATTGCAACTGTTGCAAATATCACACTAATTCTATTACCTCAGGAACAATAAATTATAACAGAAAGAAAGGATAATAGAAGCTTTAAATTACCAGAAAACAATATTTTTATCATGTAAGATTCTATTGCATTCATGCTGAGAGAAAAATTAGATAATTAATTTCTCTTTCCTTTGATTGAAATGCTTCTGGCCGGGCGCGGTGGCTCAAGCCTGTAATCCCAGCACTTTGGGAGGCCGAGACGGGCGAATCACGAGGTCATGAGATCAAGACCATCCTGGCTAACACGGTGAAACCCCGTCTCTACTAAAAAATACAAAAAACTAGCCGGGCGAGGTGGCAGGCGCCTGTAGTCCCAGCTACTCGGGAGGCTGAGGCAGGAGAATGGCGTAAACTCGGGCGGCGGAGCTTGCAGTGAGCTGAGATCCGGCCACTGCACTCTACTGCCTTCTCGAACCCTTACCAAAATCTTGAGCAGTTTCTGTCTCCAATGTCAGCAATGGTACCACTTACAAACCTTCACGGCATTCAGACATGAAGATACAGGCAAGAGATGTGGAGAATTTCTCTGAAGCCTAAACATTATTAATTTAAACTGTGGTACCCAGCCTCAGTGATGGACCTCAGTGATCTTTGATTCCTGGATTCCTGGTATTCATGCTCTTATGTAGTCCAGATC